AGAAAACAATCCAAAATTCACATGGAACAATAAAAGACCTACAATAGCAAAAGCAATTCTAGGCAAAAATGCAGGAGGTATTACAATACCAGATTTCAAACTGCTACAGAGCCATAATAACAAAAACAGCTTGATATTGGCACAAAAGTAGACCTGAGGGTAAATGGAACAGATTTGAAGACCCAGAATTAAAACCACATACTCAGTCATCTGATATTTTATGAAGGAGCCAAAGACATATAGTGAAAAAAAAAAAAAACATAGCCTCTTTAACAACTGGTGCTGGGAAAATTGGGCAGCCATATGTAGAAAACTAAAAGTGGATTCCTGCTTGTCACAATGCACTAATATTCCATTCAAAGTGGATCAAAAAGACCTCAATGTCAGACAGAAACTCCAAAACTACTGCAAGGAAGAATAGGAAACACATTAGAACTTCTGGCAAGAACTTCCTAAATAGAGTCCTAATGGTACAACAGATGGGAGAGAGACTTGCTAAGTAGGACTACATTAAAACAAAAAGTTTCTGCACGGCTATGGACATTGTTACTAAACTGGAAAGACAGCCAACCAACTGAAAAAAGATCTTTACCAATAATACATCAGACAAAAGCCTAATATCCAATATATAAAAGGAGATCAAGAAAGTAACCCCTCCTAAAAATACACCAATTACTAAATGGGCAGGGGAGTTAAGGAGAGACTTCTTAGAAGAAGAGGTAAGAATGGCAGAGAAACACATGAGAAAATGCTCAACATCCTTAGCCATAAGGACATGCAAATCTAAACAACCCTGAGATTCCATCTCACCCCAGTTTGACTGGCTAACATTTTTAATTCGAGCAAATGCTAGATGGGAATGTGGGGAAAAAGGAACCGTACACACTTCACTGCTGGTGGGAATGTAAACTACTCTGGAAAGTAGTCTGGAGGTTCCTCAAAAAAAACTAAACAACCCAGCCATACCACTCCTAGGCATCGACCCTGAGCATCATAAACCATGCACATCCATGTTCATTGCCACACTATGCACAGTAGCCAAGATATGGAAACAACCTATATATGCCCCACAATAGATGAGTGGGTCAAAAAATGTGGTACCTATACACAATGCAATCTTACACAGCAATTAGAATGAATAAAATAATGTCATTTGCAGAACAAATTGTGTTTAGTGAAGCAAGCCAAGATCAGAAAGACAAATGGCGCATATTCTCTCTGGTATGTGAAGTTAGATCTAAAATACACTGCAATATGACAAATTACACAGAAAACTAGATACTCACATACAGTGAGACCAAAAGAGGATAGTCTTAGGAGAGAATCACAAAGGTGTAATACCCAAGAGCCTCTTCATATGTGCATCAAATAAAATATATTGAAACAAACTCCAAAGATATGGAAACAGAGGACTTTTTTCTACTTTTTTCTTTTGCTGATGATTCTATATTCTATATCTTATATACAGGGTATCCACATGCATATCTTTGGGAAGGTGGGAGGGATGGCACAGAATCCAAGGAAAAAGGGTGAAAAAGTACAGCAATGGAGTGCACTGGACACTGATGAAAGTGAACTATACAACTCATCGGTGGAGATGGAAGGGAGGGAATGGGAGAGAATGAGGAAACAGATGACACTGTACAAAAGGAAATGTACTCAATTACCTGACGCATGTAAATGTAAGCCCTTTGGTCTCTAAATCTAATTACCTCCTGTAAACTGAGCTTCAAATTCCATTACATTGGGTTAGCACTTCAACGTAAGAATTCAGGAGTGGTATACAAACTCTCAGCCCATAATTCACATAATCTCTTCAGAGCACTTACAAAATGTTTCAAAGTAGAAATATACTAATCAAGTAGCAGGATTTCAAATGAAATAGTTTATTTTCAGTCTTAAAAAAAATCTTTTGTTAAAAAAAGAAGTTTCAGTGCCTTATATTTAGACTATGGAGATTATTTCACTTTAATTATTACCTTAAATAGATAGTTTCTTGTATAATACTGAAGGCTCTAAAAATGTTTTTAATGAATTATTCTCAGATAAGGTATAATAACAACTCACTTCTTAACAAAAGATGCTTATTTGACAGGAATTGAATGTCCCAAGCATTAGTACCACCAAAAAGAGATGTCTCTCAAGGCCTCTCTACTGTAAAAATTCTATTTGCTGCTGGACACCAAAGCCTGCAATCCTAGCTACTCACAAGGCTGAGTGAGACCTGAAGATTGCAATTGGAAGCAAGCCCAGGCAGGAAGTACAGCTGTGGCTTAAGCAAAAAAGCTCACGGATAGCACCCAGGCCCTGAGTTCAAGCCCTACGACCAGCATAAAAAACCATGTCTATCTGCTGGACTAGAAGCATGGCTCAAGTGGTAAGAGTGCAGCCAGGAGCAAAAAAGCCAAGTGAGAGTACAAAGCCCAAGTTCAAAGTACACACAAAAAATATACACAAAACATACACACAAAAATTGCCATTGTACAGAAGTGTCTTACATTGGTAAAATACAAATATTTGGTTACACTGCTTACTCCTTAGATGAGAATATGTAATTAGCTAAAGCAGAAGATGAGGCAAAGTGATAATCTGAGGGTTAGTTGATGGCAAATTCTGTATAGTACCCTCTGGTAACTATCAACTGTGTGGCAGAATTCAGAGAAAAATGGTTTACTAGTAAGTAGTAGGAAAAATCATGGTTTTGTACAAAATGGCCAGGGCAAAACCAGATCACATTTTCTTGAAGAGTAGTTTCCAAAGGAAGCTATAGAGAGAAAAGCAATGTAGAAAATGCCAGTTGGGAGATACATACTTTTGGGATGAAAAAAAGATGGCTATTTTGCTGTTTTGCTGTATTAAGGTAATTTCAGGTTGTTTAAAAATAGTGGTGGGTAAGGTTTCCAAACTGTCTATAGATGGTGAGGGAATAAGGGTATTGCACTGTCTGAGAGAAAAATGAAGTACACACAATGATGTGTAGAATATGAGGAAAAGGAAGTATATATAGCCTTGCTAATGTTATGTGCAACATAACATGGAAGGAACATTCACAAGGAACAAGACTGCTCCAGAGGAAGCAAAATGGAATAACAGAGGAGGAAAACAAAGAAATTCACTGACTGCATTTCCCTCTGCTACATATTTTATACTTCTAAAAGCCGAGTACTAGTGGCTTATAACTGTCATCCTAGCAACTCCAAGAGGCTGAGATCTGAGGATCACCATTCAAAGCATAACAGTTTGTGAGACACTTCTCCAATTAGCCACCAGAAAACTGGAAATGGCATTGTGCCTCAAAGTGGTTAAGTGTTAGCCTTGAGCAAAAACAGCTCAGGGACTGAGCCCAGGCCCTGAGGTTTAAGCCCCATGACCAACAAAAATAACAACAACAAAGCATTTGAGCTGGGTACCTGTGGCTCATGTCTATAATAATAACTATTCAGGAGGCTGAGATCCAGCAGATGGAGTTTAAAACCTAGGCAGAAAAGTTCATGGAGACTCCATCTCCAAAAATGACCAGTAAAAAGCAGAACTGAAGGCATGTTCAAGTGTTAAAAAGTACCAGCCTCACTGAAAAAGGCCTTGAGCTCAAGCTCCAGTATTGCTAATTAATTAGACCTATTCACTAAAGGCATGAGCTAATCTGCCATTCAAGAAACTACCTAAAAAATAAGGCCAAAAAGGGTTTGGTCGTGGCTCAAGTGGTACACTGACTGTCTACTGAGAGTGTGACCTAAGTTTAAACCCCATTACAACAAAAAATAATCCTATGTGTCCTGACTTAAAAATATTTCTCACTGTAAGCGAGAAAAGGTATGTTTTACATGATGATTTACTTTTAACTAGAAACAAAAATTAAACAGATATACCAATTGACCCTGGGAATCTTCTCTGTACAGTTCAGAAACTGACAACGCAGAGAACTATGTGTGGTACTTTTTTTTTTTTTGGTCCTGGGCCTGAACTCTGGGCCTGGGTACTGTCCCTCAGCTCTTCAGTTCAAGGCTAGCGCTCTACCACTTGAGCCAAAGCGCCACTTCTGGCTTTTTTTTTCTCCTTATGTGGTGCTGAGGAATCGAACCCAGGGCCTCATGCATGCAATGCAAGCGCTCTACCACTGAGCTACCTTCCCACCCTGTGTGTGGTACTTTTAACATCCACAAACCACAAATGCCTTGGGGCAACTGTGCTGCAATCAAACTAAGGGACTTGTGTGCTCCTAGGAAGAGGAAGAGGAGGCAAAGTATAAATCATAGCCCAATGATTTCCCCACACTTAAAATTTCTGATATTGGCTGGGTGCCAATGGCTCACACCTATAATCCTAGCCACTGAGGAGGCTAAGATCTGAGGATCTCAGTTCAAAGCCAGCCTGTGCATCCCTGAGACTCAACTCCAATGAACCATTAAAAAAAAAAGGGGGGGGGGGGAGGGAAAGGGCTTAAGTGGAACTGTAGCTTAAGTGGTAGAGTGCTAGCCTTGAGTGAAAAAGCTCAGGGGCAGTTCCCAGGTTCTGAGTTCAAGCCCCAGGACCAGCATTAAATAAGGCAAAAAAGTCTCTGAAACTAGAATATAACTAGATGTTGTTTGAAACTAGAATATAACTAAGTGTTGTTTGTACTTGAAGCATTTTTTTTATTTTTTATTTTTTTGTTTACAATTTAATCTCTAAAACAGAGCAGTATTTTATAATGCAGCTCTTGGCAACTTAGGCATGGGGAAATAGCAAGGTTCCTTGGTGGTAACTGTATTTGTCTTGAAAGATAAGAAAGGAATATATACATATTTTTATATGCCCACAAAAATATGACCAAGCTTGGCAGGAACTGTTATGGGAAGATCTGTGCTTTGTGCTATTCATCATACTATTTGAATTTTCTTCAGTAGTACATATGACACACTAGACATGTTCGAAGACATGTTGTTTTAAATGCAGACTTGCTTGTCAGAAACAGGCTTCTGAGGAGCTCAGAGACAAAGGTCAGCATTCTGGCCACTCACCTGCACTTTAGGCCGTCTTTCTTGGTCAGGGCTGAAGTCACTGCTGCTGCTCACATCTGCACTGCTATGGACGTACTGAGGAGTGGCATCTACATTCTGTCAGGAGAAAAAAAAAATCTACTGAACGAGCTTGCCTGCCTGAGTGTTCCTTATTTAAACTATTCCACAGGTTACTTACCTTTCAAGACCAAAAATACACACACACACACACACAAAATTTTCAGGTGCTTAAAAAGGTTATAAAACTACCTAAGACCTCATAAGAAGTTCCCCTAATTTACATCAAGCTTGCTGACCACCTAACTAAATGTAAGAAAAACATTTTCAGAAAAATTGAAATAACAAGAGCAATTTTAAAAGGGGCCAGAATTTCAAATTATTTATTATTTTTTTAATGCCAGTACTGGGGCTTGAACTGAGCACTTTTTTGCTAGTTAATTGGAAATAGAGAGTCCCAGGAACTTTCCTTCCTGGGATCCTCAGATCTCAGCCTCCTGAGCAGCACAGAATACAGGTGTGAGGCACTGGTATCAGGCCAAATTAATTCATTTATTAAACAGGATTGACAGAACTGTTCAGTTAGTTGTCTTAGAGGCCACTGGGAGCCACATGTAACATCTATTTCAATCCTTGGCAGTTATTTTCTGCTTTTAACAACCACCCTCCCGACACACATAAAACAAAATGCGCATATGCACTCACACACACATATGCACACGCACACACACAAAAACCCTACTAAAATACTGATAAACTCTCAAATGGTCAGTTTCACTCTAAAGAACTGGTACTGAACAGATTTCTAACTACTATATCTCCAAGAACTTTCTTGCCATCCCTGATGTGTAAGTAATACTCTTTTGTGGGCATATAAATCAAGTCATTCTGAGTTGTGGAGTCCTTCTCTATGTTTAATCAAACAAAAGAGGAATACAGATAATGAAATGATTTTGGCTTGAAGGGTATGTGTAGGTAGTCAGGGAAGGGTTGTATATGTACAGCTACAGGAATGCAGCAAAGATGATGCTAGTAACAGTACCCACCCTCAGACTCGAGTCCAGATAATGCCATTGGCCCTCCGCAACATGGCCTCAAGTCCCGTTCTTCTGCTCAGAATACTGTGTTGCTTGCTGCAGTGAAATGGTCCGATCAGAAACAAAGCACCTCTCCAAAAAGAAAAGGGAAGAGTTAATTATTCTTGATAAAGGGCTTTGTTTCCAGTAAGACTATTTCACTGCAGTGAGCTACATTAACATTTGAGTCCACTAAAATAGTCATATAGACAGGGCTTATAGGATTTACTTCTCTAGGCATTTAATATGACAAGGACAGGATGTGGTGAGAATAATTACTTCTACTTTATGTAAAAGAAAGAGCTAAAACATCAGAGGTACTAAAGTAGAAAGTGATTAACACAAATTGTCTCCCAACAATAATAGACTGCTGATACACACTGCTCTCATTCAGTAAGTACCACTGAGCTCATTACCTCAACAGATTTGCTGATTAGAGGCACAGACTCTTCTTGACTTATATTACAATTGGGTAGCTCCTTTATACCCTGCTCTTCTTGCAGCTCCTGTGTTTGATCTATACCAATGACCTCCTCATGAGCATCCAAACTAGAAGCACGCAGCGCAGCAGACAACACTTCCACCTGTGCTGTGGGTAAAGGAGACAGATGGGGTGAGTGAAATAACTGCAGGATCTCACAGGCATGATTCTGTATCAGCTAAATGCACACTTTGTTTTGATACTGCCATCAAAAGCTGAAAACAATTTCTAATGTGGGAAAATCATTAGTCTTTCAAGAGTACAAGTAGAATACAAATTATGTTTTCATGAGATTAAAAGTGCCCATCCACTACTGTACATTATTCTGCATTAGTATGGAAAAATAAATGCTATCTAGTTGTGAGAGGTATCTCCAGTATATTAAAAGGGGTCAATTTCAGTATAAGTTAACTATGTTTTGGTAGTTTATAAGTCAAACTAATAAGGCTTACTTACTAAGCTATTTTATCAGAAGAGCAGTCACACAAATCCTGCCAACATAAAACAATGGAATTATAAAGATTTTGTGGCAACCTGTTTTATTTTATTCTCACCTAATTCTTTATGAAAATGAAATTCATATACTTTGTCTCAAACACAGGGCTCCTGTATGAGTAATAACTTGCTTTCAGGAATCAAAATGACAACTTACTATATATGGTGGTTGTTAAATCTAGAAATCAGTATTGTCTGCCTAATAAAGGAAATTCAAAACTAAAAAAAAAAAAATTCTACCAGTGGTAGATGTGATCCTACTTACTCAGGAGGCTGAGATCTGTGGATCATGGGTAAAGCCAGCCATAGCAAGAAAGTCCATGAGACATTTATCTCCAGTTAACCAGCAAAAACTGGAAGTGGAGCTTTGTTTCACCAACCTTCAGTGAAAAAGCTAAAAGGGACAGTGCCCTAGCCCTGAGTTGGAACACTAGTAGTGGCATGAACTAACTAGCATTCTTCTTACCCCTCATAAACTACTTAGTATAAAAATATTGCTTAGCATTTATTCCAAGTAATTCATACAGATATGCAAAATATGATATTAAGTTCTTAAAATAATCAGTAACTGCTTAAGACAACTTATTAATATGCTGCAGTACTAAGTGTAGTACTTGGCACAGGTATGCAAGACACATGCATGAGGAGATCCTATTCTATCTAGTGGATCAACATTAGCTACATTATTTAAGTGAGGAAAAGTGCTGTGGAGGATTTTCACTGTTTTCAGAATTTCAGCTAGAACTGTAATAACTATTTACATCACTTTAGCTCTCCCTTTTGGGCTCTTTCAAGTTTCCCAACAAAAGCACTCAAAGCAGACTAAGCAACGGTTAAATAAAATGTTCTGTACAACAGCAGTATGTGACATGTGAGGGGGGTCTCTTATGCATCACAGATGTTCTGAGCTGTGACTACTAAATCTGAGCCTTTCACAGAAAATGTCTGACTAAAGTCACGTCTCAAAGTAGACTAAAAACTTTCCTTTTATCCATATTAATCCTTATTTTAAATCTGTATGTTCATAAAAATTTTAATGAAATGTTGTGAACATTTTTCCTTTAGAAAACTGATATAAGATGGGGGGAGCCACATAGGACTTAGGCTGAATCATTAGGGCACTTGATCCTGAAACTCTCCAGTCACAGAAAGGAGGCAGAGTTTTATAAACATAGGTTACTACTGAAATATCACACCTGCATACAAAGTACCATCAGGAGAAATCTTAAGTAAAACTTCAAGTCTCTGTCAAACCTGCCTTTTACTTTACATAAAAAAATGGAATCCTGTGACTCAAGTTACTGAAACCTATTGCTAGTTTTCTTACTAAAGGTTTTAGAGTGGTATTCTGAGACCCAGGAGTTACTATGGGATAGCTGATTTCTCCCTAGTTCAGTTAGTATCTGATATAGTCACCCACTATCATTCTCAATTGAAACTATCAGTTCAGCTATTCCAGTTCACCGTGTTTAATTCCACTGATACATGGAAAAGAACTCAGAGGAGAGAGAAAAATTAGGCAACACAATCCATGTAGAAGATGGTTAGGGAACATGAGCCTGCCAAATAAATCTTGCTTATTTAACCACGAATTTATGAAGAAATACAGTCCACAGCAACATCTATCAGAAATGGAGCGACCTGGAAATCTCAAAAGACACTTCTTTCCTGAGGAAGTTGGCACAGATGGTCACAACATAACTTCACAATCTCCAATTCTCTCACAAACAGTGTTGGGAAGTTCCTAATAATGATTCTTAACTAGGACTGCTTTTAAAAGGCCTCCTTCTTTACCTGGAATTTACATTTGTGTAAGCAGTTTATGTTTATGAAACCTATGAACCTCGTGATGGATTAAGCTGGTAATCAGAAACTCTGCCTCAGTACTTTAGGTAGGTGGGTCTTACTTAGGTTAATGCTGAATCTGATCCCAAATGCCAGAACTGAAAACTACTAACAAAGAAAAAAGACCTCAAATTCTCTCAGGAAGTCTTTCAGGAAAGGGTGTAATTCTACCTTGTGTTTTTCTATCTTGAATCTATTCTAGAGATTGTTCCACAAAGGATTCACAAGATCAATTGTATTCTACAACTGACAGAAGACATTTTCCCTCCCTGATAACAGCATTTCACTGTAGTATCAAAACATTCATGACCAAAACCCACAAGGAAAAAAAATCTCATGCTCAAAGGAAGGTAAAACTTTGAAAGACTGAAGCAAAAGCTGACTTAGAAGAAAAAAATTACTAAAGTCTTGTTTTTATTTCCCAAGACACCTCCCACAGGACAGCAACTAGAAAAAAAAAGTGACATACATAGAGGTGAAATAAATCAGTTTTGATAATGTGCCCTTCTTTAGGTAGATTCTGCCTGTAAGTCTCCATCATTTTCCTATTTTACTATCAAGAAAAAATGTACATGGCAATGTAATTTTAATATACATCTCAGCCAGACCTTAATTTTTAAATTGTTTTTGAAGTTTTTCCTTTAAAAAATGTAGACATTTTCTCATAGCCCCATAATGCTAGAAATGGAAAAGGAAAATGTACCCCAAATTAATGCTTACCCCTTGCAATTCAAAATACCTTCTAACACAAAGGAAAATTAGAACAGTTATTTAAATTAACAGCTTAAACATGTATGTCTTCAATATCAAATGCTACAGAACTGTGCAGCCTAAGCAGCAAATCCAACACTGCCACCTGCTTCCTTCTGCTTATGGTAGACCTTACTGGTACCATGTGCCACTTAGTATGCAAGTGTCACACTTCAGTGCTCTCGAAGGCTGGGAGTGTCATCTGGTTCCTGTTGTATATATTTAGTACCTGGTTCACAGAGGTGCTCCACAAGTACTGCTCAGTGAATGACTCCCTGGATCAGTGGATAGCTGCTCAAGGAATCATCATTACTGACAGACAATGTGATAAATTTTATCTATCGTAAGTATTAAACTATGAACAAGTTAAACACAAGATAGTGTATTCAAATTATAACCAATGATGCCTTGTGAAGTTGCAATTTTAAATCAATGTATGATTAGCCATCTTCAGAAACTGACATCTAGATCTTTCAAAAAGAAAACTATGGAAATCATTTTTAGCTTATTTACTGAAAAAAATTTACAGCAGCTCATTCACTACTGTAACTGACAATTTTAAATGTCTTATATGTGGAACAGAACTATCAAGTATTATAATATGAGAACCTCAGAATAGGCTTATAAACTAGCTACCAATTCTTTTACCATAAAAATGAACTTTAAGAAAAATAAGTTATTAAAGTATGACAAGCCTAATAAAACTTACAATACAAGTAATAAAACTTAAATAAAGCTGAAAGTTGTAAAGACATCACTGGGAGGTAATTCTCTGTGCCCAGTTCTCTTCAATTAAGGGTAAGAGAAAAATGAAAGGAAAGAAAAAAGACAGTAAAGCAGATTTTGGGGGCTAAATGGCTCAGTGGTAGAGTGCTTGCCTTGCATGCATGACGCTCTGGGTTCAATTCCTCAGCATCACATAAGCAGAAAAGGCCAGAAGTGGTGCTGTGGCTTAAGTGGTAGAGTACTAGCCTTGAGCTGAATTGCTGAGGGACAGAGCCCAAGCCCAGAGTTCAGGCCCCACAACTGACCAAAAAAATAAAAAAAAAAAACAAAACAGGTTTTGGTTAGGATTCTAGTTTGCCAAATAAGATTTAAAAAACCATCAGTACTTGCTCTATTATCGTATTGTGATGAAATGTACAGAACTAGCTGAGAGTAGTAAAAAAAAATCTATGATGAGAGTTTGCATAAATGAGGAATAATATAAAGAAAGTAAAGCTGTAAAGTTTTCATTAAAAAAATAATAATCTAGCTGAGCACTGGTGACTACTACTTGAGGCTGAAATCAGAATTGAAATTTAAGGCCAATAAGGACAAAAAAGTCCTTAAAACTTCACCTTTGAAGAGGAAAATTAGATATAGTACTTGGACTTGTGTTCTCAGCTTGAGAGGAAGCAGGTAGATTACAGAAAGTGAGGTTCTATCTCAAAATTAACCAACAGAAAACAGTGCTGGTGGTGTAGTTCAAATAGTAAAGTACCATAAGTGTAAGGCTCTGAGTTCAAATCTCAGTATCACCAAAACTAAACAAATAAAAATAATGTACAGTGAAGAAAAAAATTTATTTCATAAAATAATAAAAGGAATGGGTTACTGACATGTTCACACCTCATACTTTGTACTGATAGGTCAGACTCCAAAAAGCTACATATTATTTGATTTGATTCAGATCAATGTTTCCAAAAGCTTGGGAAGGAAGGCAGTACTGGCAGTTACTTGACCATTTTTCAAATCTCAAAGAACTGTCCATTCAGAAAATGACTTTTATCAAGAAAAAAATTTATACGTTCATAAAGGTTTCATCAAAATAAAATGTTAACAAGAACATAAATTAACATTTGGTCATAATTAATTTTCCCCAAAAAGTTATAGTAAGAAATCTCTAAAAATGGTAAATAAAAGGCAAATAAAGACAACTGCTAGCTTACAAAAATGATGCGATTTTCAAATATAAGGGTTTTTGTTTCATGTTTTATAGCATAATCTTTTATAAGACTACTAAAGGTTTCACTTTATTTTCCACAGTGAACAAACTAATAATAGTTTAGGAATTTTCAATGTTGGTTTTATAACTGAGGGAAAAAATGTAGGTGATTAGAAAAACCTTAAGTTATGAGTTTTCAAAATTTGGTTTTTGTTTTAAATACATTTATGCTTTCAGTGATTAAGTGCAGAATCAGACAGATTGTTCCAACGGTGAACAATCTTAAATACATTTCTCTAAAAATAAAGACTTATCGTGCCAATTCTAAAAAAAAAAAAAAAGGAGACTTTTCAGGAAAAAAAAAATTTAATGCCACATCATTTTTTTTTCAAACAATTTTAGAATAAAGCACAAACTTGCCTAACTCTTCCATACCTTTAACATCTGGGTCATCAATGTGGGGCTCCAGGTTTTCTATCATTTCTTCTAGTTCCTTCCTGGTGGCCATGGTGATGTTTGGAGAACCAGGCACAGGAACTTCCAGTGCTTCCTCTGCTCTCTCTGAGCTAGGACTCTTCCCAGAGTCCTCCTGGAGTTCTATATCTAGATCAATTTCAGGAAGAGGAGTCCTCCAGAAATGGAAAGAGTTGTACAATTCCTGATCTAAGGGAGCAGAATCTTGGGAACTGGTGCCAAATTCTGGTTGCAATGCAGACTGGTAGTTACCAGGTGTTTTATCATTCTCATGACTAGTTGCTTCCTGATGAAATTCTGAAGACAAAGTACAAAGTAAAGAACTGTCCACTGGAATGCTTATTTCATCTGAAGAGCTCCTGAATGCTTCTACAGCATCATCTTCCAGCATGTTTTCCAGTTTAACACTGGAATTAGATACACTGAGATCTGAAGGAACAGCTTCTGACCTCATCTGTCCTTCCCCAGGGACATCTTGATTGCAGATCCTTATTGTTTTATTTAGAAAAAATAAAAACATAAAAATAATTACTGAAAACAAATCAATGAAAGATATTACATATAGCCTTTACACAAGCTAAATACTAAAATTTATAAATTATCCACATAACTTGAATAGTTTATGAATATTACTCATAACGCTTCTTTTTCCATCAGTTGTTCTGTGTTCAGAGATATAAACACCTGTTGAGCATAAGGCTACATGTATATGCAAGCATTATTATTAGTTGGAAAATCTAATAATATGGTAATTTGACTAACAGTAGGAAAAAGAAATTCCTACAAGACCTTTTAAGATTTTTTTAATTGATTTTTAGAATTTGTATTGCCAATCTGCTTCAAGGTAAAAGCTGATGAAGTTTTTATGCTAATATAAAAAGAGGAAAGGAAAAAATCTATTAACTAACTCATAAAATATATTAAAACCTGCACAACTGAAAATAGAAGTTTTATTTCTTCTGTAAATTCCATCTCTGTTCCCAGAAAAGTCCCTCAAAAGGAAGTAATAATTTAGCTAGTAAATGGTACAAAATCCCAATTAAAGTCCACAATAGAAGCTGCCCATTCTATCTAAACTAAAGCACTAATGTAAGTTTACTGTTTATCTCTCAATTAAACTCCATAAAATTTAACAAGCACTTATTGAGCACCTACTAGGAACCAGGAAATGATACCAGGTTTGAGGATTTGAATGTGAATGAGATTATAGTTAGAGGCAAACAGAGAAGAAATGAAAAATAAGCAAATTACTCTCAGAGTAGTGAGAAGAGAAGCTTATACACTGAGCACATGGAAGTAGGAGCACAGGCCTTAGAGGAAATGACATGAATTGTATTTAGAAGAATCATCTTTAAGAGGCCAAGGGAAGGAAAAGTATTCAAAGAAATAGCACACAAAGGCAAGAACCAATACAAGAAAGATAGCCATTCTAAGTAACAATGATTTCACTAGCCCTAAGAGAAGGAAATGATGGGCGATAGAGATGAAAAACTGTGCAACTCTGAATTTATCTTTTTATGCAAGAATTAAGGAAATTATGTTAGATATATCCTTTTTGCAAGATCATTATAAAAGCAGTATATAACAATAAGCTGAACACAGACTTGCTGTAGAAACTGAAGGTAAATGAGAGACGATCTGAACAAAGATCATCATCAGAAGCAGTTTAATGAAAATGCCAATATATTCATGTTTGGATGGACTGAATCTGCTTCTATTATATATTTAAATGTGATACATTTAAGAAAACTCCACTTAACACACACACACCCCTAATTAAAAGGTCATTCAAATGGAAAAGTACTCCAGGGACTTGAAGCTCCTCATCTCTTTCACACACACACACACACACACACACACACACACACAGGGAGCTCCTCATCTCTTACACACACACACACACACAGGGAGCTCCTCATCTCTTACACACACACACACACACACACACACACACACACACACACACACACACACACACACACACACACACACACACCCCTAATTAAAAGGTCATTCAAATGGAAAAGTACTCCGGGGACTTGAAGCTCCTCATCTCTTTCTCACCTTACCATTATGATTAGATTTTAACATTCTTAGCAATAAAATCATTTTGTTAAACCTTGTTTAACAAATGTAAATTTACTAGTAAGTTTAAACTTATATTTCATAGAATGTTGTTGTTTTTTAAAAGAAACAAATATACAAAAAAAAAGGTTGTCCTGAAATTAAGTTCTGGGTGGGATTACTCCATGTGTGGATTTAAACTGCCTACACAATAAATGCTGTAAGTTACAATTTTTCCTGGAGCTGGATAACTGTCAGTGTAAGTGCAAGTGGCTAAACATCAAGATTCTGATATTCCCAAAGGTCAGACTTCTAAATGCTATTGTACAAAAACAACATGGTTTTGAAAACTGAGGAAACCTGTGATTCTGCACAATGGAATAATCATCCTAGCCTCTAAGATATTCGGAAACAGGAGCACTACAGAATGGATCAGAAATTTCTCTCAAAAAGAACCTTTAGTTTTTTCTCATGGCCACAAAAATTTATGCTTAATCAGATTTCCTACACTTAGTCTGCTGGGCCTAGAAAACCAAATGGTATTTTGAGGAGAAATGAACTATAGAATATCTGGTTAAAAAGCACTGGGTTCCCTGAATAATGATGGCTCATGCCTTAAATCCTAGCTACTCAAGAGTCTGAGATCTGAGCATCACGGTTCAATGGTAACAAGGCAAGAAAGTCCATGAAACTCTTATCTCCAATATACTACTCAGAAACAGCTAGAAGTGATGCTGTGGTTCAAGTGTCAGAGCACTAGACTTGAAGAAAAGAATTTCAGGGACAATGCCCAGGCCCTGAGTTCAAGTCCCAGAACTGCATCCCCCCAAAAAATGGATTCAAAGATGAAAGCAGAAATAACTCTCAGGACACACCTTCCAAGTATTTTCAAATTTATGGCAATTTTATTTTTAGAGCCGGTATTAAGCTCAATAGACAAAATCTAGCCCAAGCAGTTCAGGTACTTAAGGTTTCTGATATTAGATCTGTGTTCTTAAAATAACTCATTCAGGACATCAATCATGTATAGAGACCCAGTGAAGAAGCTAACAGAAAAAAGATGAAAATTATATGGGTTTGCAGCCTACTACATGACAGATGCAAAGATATAACTTAAAAGATATGATTTAAAATTAATATGCTAATGAATGTGATCAAAAGAGAACCCTAATGCCCTACTGGTAGGAATGTAAACCTGTACAACCACTCTGGAAAGCAGTATGGTGATTCCTCAAAAAAGTGAACATAGAACTACCCTATGACTAAGCAATTCCACTCCTGGGAATCTATCCAAAACATTACAAACCAGGATACAGTAAAGCCACCAGCACAACTATGTTCACTGTAGCCCTAGTGACCATAGCCAAGGTATGGAATCAGCACAGATGCCCCTCAATGGACAAATGGATCAAGAAAATGTGGGAATTTTACTCATTCATTGGAAATAATATTATATCACTTACAAAGAAATGGAAGGACCTAAAAAAAAAATTATGTTAAGTGAAGTAAATCAGTCTCCAAGAGACAAAGGTTGAATGTGTTCCCACATGTGTAAGCCAGAAGTAGTTTGTAACATCTAAGTGAATATGTTGGGTGGTAACCAAGTGTATACAAATGTACTAACTGAAATATGGCAGATTCAAGAGAGAACTTGAATTCCTTAGAAAAGGCAGTCAAAGTTTAACAAAACAAAAACCAGATAATGAATACCAGAAAGGGGAGGAGTGGGGCCAAAGGGAAAGGGGCAGGATGCAGTAAAGAAGTAAATATGTATCCTATAAAATTAAGAAAAAAGGGAAGGGGCTAGTAGGAGAGGTGGGTGAGAATGTTGAAAAGAGTGATACAGATCAAGATGTATTGCATTCAATAAACTGCTTTGTTAAAAGTGGCAACTCCTCTATACAACTACTTTAAGATCATAAAAATTTTAAAAATAATAGTGCTCTAGAATCAGTGCTACTGACAACAAAGGAAATAAGCTCTGAGTTTCCTGGATAAGTCAGGAAGGGATTTTGGAAGGTAGTGAATACCCTGTCATGTCATTTGTTAAGATGGTTCAGACTGAACACGACATCCTAAAAGAAAGCAGCAAGTACAAGGAGAACCAAAACAGCACAATATAGTCAGGCAATGTAACTTCCAAGAAATATAAAAGAGAATGCTTACACTTTTAAAACCTGAATGTTTTAACTTTGCTTCTGTAAACAGCCTTTATCAGCACTTTCAAAGATGCATTAATAACTTGACTTAGGCTAAATGAAAGACAAATCTGAGATTTGTAATCAATAAATGCATCCTGGAGTACTAAATGACTTCCAGCACCAGGTGAAACACCAAACTAAATAATGGAGGAACTGCAGAATTAACAGCTTACTTTGTAAGGTATTTGTTAAGAGAAATCTTAATTCTAGGAAAGCTTGAGTATAGGAACCAAGTTCTACCTTTCTATTTACAGCCTGTGGTTCATAGTAGGTGCTCAGTTACATTTTGCACAATCAATCAATCAATCAATCATTGTCAACAATCGTACAGTTTTAAGACACTTTAAAACCAAAAGCCAATACAATATTTCAGGAAAGGCAACCAAGCCAATCATTCTGAATCTTACTAATATATGGGACTAGCACCTTATAAGCTAGACAAAGTCAAAAGTATTTAAAAGCTTTTACAATACTTAATTACAACTTATTTCTTACCCAGAAACTCTTTCTCTTCACCAAACCATTAACAATTCAATAAAGTCTAGAACTATAATGAAAATCCAATGCTACACTGACTTGACAACAAGGGGTACAAAGTATACTTCATTACAATGAAAAAAGAAATAAGGAATTAAACTATCTTTCAATAGCTTTTCCATACAATGCCAGTCAGCAAGCATGGCCTTAATAGGCATACAACTGTTTTCATCAATAAGGTTTTATTGGAACACAGACAAACCCATCCATTCACAACCTTATGGCTGTTTTCACACTATTAAGGCAGACCCTGCCTGGTTGTGACAATGAAAACTTTACTACCTGCCATTTTTTTTTTTTTTTACAAAGAGGGTGCAGTCCCCTGTCTGACATAATACTCTGTAATTCACAATTTCTCTAAATATACACTCTCCAAATTGGAAAATAAAAGTTATGTAAGTCTTCAGGGAAGTCAATAGTGAAAACAAAACAAAATTTAAAAAGTATACTAACTTTAAAAGTGAAAAACATAACATTTCCACCCCCCTCATCATTTTTGCCAAATTCCTGTCAAAAGAACTGACAGATTCTGGGAAGACAAGGTTAAAGTGATTTTTCTTCCTTTACAAAAAACAGTACCTCAGGTTTGTTTGGCTATTCAGCAGGACAGTAGGAGAACAGGCAAAAAGGTAAAACAAGGCAGCAGAGAAGAAAGGAAGAACTGCCAAATCAAAACACCAAGAAAGCAAATATCACAGTACCAAGACCTACAGAAGAAAATGTCCATTAGCATCATCACAAGGGAGGGACAAGACACTATGGTAACTCAAACAATTAAAGACTGTTCCAAAAGCACGTGCTCAAATCATCTCCCATGAGTAATTATATAAGTTTATTTATGTATACCTCCTATGATCTAAGTTAGATATAGTTTTTCCTCTAAATATATTATAATTTCTAAGGACTAAAATTTAATTCAAATTTTTAATGCTAATTTTTTTGGGGGAGGGGTTTGGTCATGGGGCTTGAACTCAGGTCCTTGAGGCTCTTTTACTCAAGGCTAGCACTCTACCACTTTGAGCTACAGCCTCACTTCTGGTTTTCTAGTGGTTATCTTAAAGAGTCTCATGGACTTTCCTGCCTGCACTGGCTTTGAACCATGATCCTCAGATCTCAGCCTCCTGAGTAGCTAGGATTACAGGTGTGAGCCACCAGCACCCAGCAATGCAAATTTTAAAAAATAAAAGTCACATTATTTTAAGCATTATTTGAAAATTGATTTACTTAAAATCTGTATTTCAGCAAACTTCTTCATGGCTAATCATTAGAATGCTCAATTGGGAGATTACAATTATCATTCTATTTGCTGAGAAGTCAAGACACACATTGGACTGCAAGGAAAGTAGTCCAAAATGGACTATATATTTTTTTTTTTGGGGGGGGGGGGAATGCTCATACTAGAGCTTGAATTCAGGAGCCTCTGCTCTCATTTGGATTTTTTGCACAAGGCTGGCACTAATCTACCATTTAAGCCATACCATCACTTTCAGCTTTTTGCTGGGGAAGTAGGAGTCTCATGGACTTTTCTGCTTGGACTGGCTTCAAACAGCAATCCTCAGATCTCAGCATCCTCAACAGCTATGATTATAGGCTTGAGTCACTGGCATCCAGTCAAATATATTCTTAAAGTAGGTTTTACTCCTTAAACACTGATAATAATCATAATCCCTAACACCCTTTATATTCTAAATACCAACAGTTTATTAGGTAATTTTATTAAAAACAGTATTCAAAAGCCTAGGTGCTAGGCATGTGCTAAGAGTTAGATATATCTTCTCATTTAATAAGTAACTAAACTGGAAAAACTAACAATCATATAAATTTAAAACAAAATGTAGTTTACGACCATACTACTCTAAATGTGACCACTCTTTGTCCAAAATAAAATGCTAGACAAATTTAACAATTTTTATTTTCAAGACAAAGTTATCCCTCCAAAAAGAATACTGAGGTAAAATAGTGTAAATGATGTCCATAAACTGTAGAATTGGAAAACAAAGTTATAATATTATACCTATTTTGGTCTTCTACTGGCCTATCTTCTGAACTTTTGCTTTCTTCTTTAAAATATTGGCCTGAGCTAGATGGATTAGCAAAAGTAGATATGAAAGGTCCCAGAGACTGAAAAGCTGCTTGGCGAACCTAAGAAGAAAAAAAAAAGACAGTAATAAAATATATGCACAAAATTGTTTTTTTTTTTTAAATAAAAAAGCATATGTAAGGTTGGACATGGTAGCTAATGCCTGTGATGATCATAGTTTGAGGCCAATCCTAGCAAAGAAAGTTAGCAAGACTTCATCTCAATCAACAGGCACGGGCATAATGGTTCATGCCTGTGATCCCTGCTACATGGAAATCTAGGGTAAGAGTCTGGGGCTGGCCCTAAGCAAATAATCCTGAAAAGCAGATGAAGGAAGGGCTGGGGGCGTGGCTCAAGTGTCAGAGTAATTGCCTAACAAGCACAAAGCCCTGACACCACCAGGAAAAAGAAGTTCCACTTATATATTAAATAGTCAATATGCTCTTTCCACATACCAAACCAAAGTATGTTTGGGAATAAGGCTTTTTATAAAAGAAATCCAGATTCCAAATTACAAAATTATTCTTCACCTAGCTTTAAAAATCTTTATATTTTTCCTTTCAATTGTTTTTATTGTGGCTTGAATATTCAAACCATGATAATCTGAATATGAAATCCTATAAAACTTTTGCAAACAAGTCTTTAGAATCTTGCTGTATTCTTTTTTTTTTTTTATTTTTTTTTATTTTTATTTTTGGTCCGGTCATGGGGCCTGAACTCTGGGCCTGGATACTGTCCCTCAGCTCTTCAGCTCAAGGCTAGCGCTCTACCACTTGAGCCACAGCGCCACTTCCGGCTTTTTTCTTTTTGCTTATGTGGTGTTGAGGAATCGAACCCAGGGCCTCATGCATGCAAGGCAAGCGCTCTACCACTGAGCCACCTTCCCAGCTCCCTTGCTGTATTCTTAAGAAAACAATGAAGAGAACCAAGAACATTAAACAGAAAATAAAAGGAATAAACCCAAAAAAATGTGACAAATACATTTAAAGTTCTTAGGTAGGAAGACCAATTTTTTCAAAACAAGGAGGCACCAGATGTATCAGAACTGCATACAATCCAATTGGCAGACATGGAACATTATTTCACAGAGGCCTTCATTATATACTGTTAGTACTGAATAGTTCATGTGGAGGACGGTGGCTAGAATTCCATTTCATATTGGATTTCTGTATTATTTTCAGGATCAAGATTTTTTAAAATAAGACATTTGAGAAGAGTTTTATGGGAAGAAGTATAGACATAGCTGACAAAGACCTCAAAGACAGAAGCACTGGCATGTGTTATTAAACCCAACTGTGCCATAGACCAAGTTCTCTAATGATAAAATAACTAATCCCTTCTGCAAATTTTAATAAAGACGTGTGTGAATTTTATAGATACTTTTTAGATAAATGAGTGTAATTGAATTTTACAGATAAATAAATGTAATATATATTTACTAGCATTTACCTACCTGGTAAAAACTTTCCATTGGATTTCTTAAAAAGCTAGAATTGTGTGTGTGTGAGAAAGAGGGAGGAAATGGAGAGAGAATGAAAAGAGGAGAAGGATGGAGAGAAAGGGAGAGAAGGTAGACAGGGAAGGAAAGGGAAGAAGGAATAAGGATGAAGAAGAGAAAACAAGAACTCAGGGATTTCCACTTTTCCCAAAAAGGTACACATTTTTTTAAATGCTGCAATGGAATCCAGGGCATTGAGCATGACAGCTACATACTCTACCACTGAGCTACAACCTCAGACTAAAATTTAAAATTCTTCTAATGTGGTAGCCTTTCTACCATCTACTTTTGAAGGAATGTATAAAACAACATAAATCATCTCTTATAGTATCATGTCTACCTTAAAATACACTTAAATGTACAATTTTTAAAAACCCTACCCAACGTGAGGGATCACTGATCAAGTTAATAAACAGTGCTGATAGCTTGGTCCTTCGGATTTCCTGACATGTTGCACATGAAACTGCCATGAAGCACTCTGCACACGCCTTCCGGACTCCCCACACATTGTCAGAACACAGCTGGAAAAACCTGGGCAGCTACACAGGGAGGAAAGCAGATGGTTCCACAGTTATTTCTTTCTCATTTGCTCTGTTTAAAACATTGCATTTTCTTAAAATCTGGAGCAACTATTTAATACTTATAAGGCTCAGTGATTTTTAGTGAACAATCTCTAATTCACCATTGACAAATGATAATTATGAAACAAAGCTGAAAAATGTTATACATAGCTTTATATGAATTCATTTTGTATGTTTTCAGAAAATCTGTGAACTTATAGAACAAACACATAACACTCATATGTTGACTACTCAATAAAATACTTGAGGTTGCAATAAAATTAAATACTCAAGTAAATAAATTATATTGATTTAATACAAATGGGATGTTAACAGTAAGTCCATGCTTCTCATATATATTTGTATTTTCAACAAGCTGATCAAAACATAATTCAAGTGTCTACATTGTAGAAATTCAACAAAATACACCAAAAGCTATTACCATTCTACTTTATACTCACAGACTGTGCCAATAAAATACAGAGTAACTGATGACATTTCAAACTTCACAAGCTACTTTGTATCATGTTGCCTAATCAGTTATACCTATGACACCTACCAACATTTCCTCAGTAGCTTGCTGGCCAACTACACTGCAAATGTCTCCAAAATTGGCAGCACAGACCTGAAAACAAAAGTATCATTGACAATTTAAAGTACTACCTATAGAATCCCTTAAAAACAATCTATATTGGGCTGGGGATTTAGCTCAGTGGCAGAATGCTTCTCTAGCACAAATAAGGCCCTGGATTCAATTTCCAGTAACACAAAAATAAAAATAAGTATCTTTTAAAAACTTCAAAAAAGCCCAATCTTAACCAGACACCAGTGGCTTACATCCCTAATCCTAGCTAATGAGGAAGCTGAGATCTAAGGATCTGAAGACAGCCTGAGCAGGAAAGTTGGTGAGACTCTTATCTTCACTTAACCAGCAAAGGAAAAAAAAAAGCCAAAAGTGGAGATGTGGTTCAAGTGGTAGAACACTAGCCTTGGGCACAAAACACAGAAGCACAGGGACTATACCCAGGCCTGAGTTCAAGCCCCAGGAACAAAACACACACACACACACACACACACACACACACAGCCTAATCTTATTAAATTGTACATACTTAATACAATAATCATACCTTTCGAACATGAAACATTCTACAATCACAGCACATCTCGCAAAATCGAGGGAGGATAAGACGTTCTGTAATATCCTTCCCAACCATGGGAGCCATCCTGCACATTATCTAAAATAAGGAAAAAACAACAACTAAAAATATCTTTAAGGTAAGAAATTTTCCAAGTTAAATCTGGTAACTTAATAAAGATGTATAATTCAAGGAAATATAAATTGACCAATACATACTAACTGTACAGAAAGCCAGACAATTCTTAAAAGCTTCCATATTTGCCATATTACTTAATCATTATTATTCAATTACTTAAAACATTTTCCAGGTAATTTTTAAGTCTATATTTTTCTATTAAGAACATGGTGACTGTACAAATGGAAAGATTACCCTAAGAAGAATCTGGTCTAGTCTCTGTACTGCCAAGAAGAAAATACGTAAAGGTAATCTTCAACTTGTAAACCACATGGTTAATGCACATCCAAGTATGGGAACTGTGTCTTAATTATACAAAGTCTCAGTTTGGGAACAGATTTCAACAGCATAGGTTTCAGTTAATACAGTATGCTAATAAGCCAAGTGAAGATTAACTGTCTGTTATAGAAGTACATTCAACCCATAGTAAATCTTAAAAAAAATCTGCTTCATCATTTACTAATTATATCTATTCCTAGACTATAAAAATATAAGAGGTAAAAAGGAATTAATATTGGAAAGGAAAAAACTTCATGCATGACATTATTGTCTATTTAGATATCCAAGGAAGCCACCAAAACAAGTAAGTGAATTTAAGGTTGAGGGATAAATATCAGAATACTAATTTATTTCTATAGATTAGCAACAACCAATCAGAAGTATTTAAAAAATAAAAAATATCACTCACTATAATGTTAAAAAAAAAAAGTCACTGGGCACTGGTGGCTCATGCCTGTAATCCTAGCTACTCAGGAGAATGAGGTCTGAAGACTGCAGTTTGAAGCCAGCCCAGGCAGGAAGAGTCTTATCCCCAATAAATTACTCAGAAAAAGTGGGTACTGTGGCTCAAGTAGTAGAGCACTAGCCTTGCGCAAAAGAAGCTTGGGAATAGCACCCAGGCCCAGAAAACCCCAGGACCAGGAAAAAAAAATAATCATGAAAATCTGGGCTGGGCAATCCCAGTTATTAAAGAGATAGAGACCAAGAAAATTTTGGTTTGACTTGCCCAGGCAAAAAGGTTAATAAGACTATATTTCAATCTGGAAATTGGGGTAGTAGCACACACCTGTAATGTAACCACATAAGAGGTCTAAGGGGGTGAATCATGGATTAAGGCCAGCCCCATCTAAGAGCACAAGACCCTATCTGAAAAAATAACTAAAGCAAACTGGGCTGGCAGCATAGCTTCAGGTGGTAGAATACCAACCTAGCAAGTGAAAGATCCTAAATAAGTCAAACCTCATAATGGCTATGTGCAGATACACATTCAAATACCATGAAGTCTATCAAAATACACACAAAATCTGTCTCCTGAAAACTACAAAAGAAACATTGTAACCAAATTCTTAAGTAGAAAGAGTAATCTATCAGGTTTGTGTCTAGCTAAACTGGCAATTCTCCTCATACATAGGTTCAGCACAATCTTCAGATTTCAGCAGTGGGACTAGAACTAGCTTTGCTTTTTCAATAAACCTCACCAAGCCCTAGCTAAAAATCCAAAGTTCCTCTGAATCACTAATCTAGGATAAATGAAGATAATAGAACAAATTATGCCTAAAGTAAACATAAACCAACTGTGAGAGCCACAAACTTCCAACCAAAAATATATTTTGTTATAATTATTTTGTTGTTTTTTCTAAACAATTTTATTATTTTTAAATACCACCAAAAGTTATAACACAGCAGGTTAGACTCTAACATAAAACCAAGAGTTATGCTCAAATTTTAAATTACAAATGTTTTGAACTTAGTAGAAGTGATGTGATAAATGTCGCTCTCTGTTCACTTTAAAATGATTATTTCTGTAATATAAATTTCATTTCTATAAAAGAGGAAGCAGTGCTGTGGCTCAAGTGGTAGAGTGCTAGCCTTGAGCTAAAGAGCTCAGGGACAGCACCCAGGCCCAGAGTTCAAGGCCCGTGACCAACAAAAAAAAAAAAAGAGAAAAAAGCATCTAATTTTATTACTGACTGATAACTGGGTATCTAAAAGAAAAAATAATCAAGTAAAGAAATTGTTCAAGGGAAAGAAACTAGAGTAATCATCTAATGTATTTCTACCTTTTGTAATTTAGAAGATGTATAAACTTGTGGTTCAATTGTGTCTCAACAGAGACACACAAAAAAGAAGAAAACACTAACAAAATAGATTTCAATAAACTTTGAAATTAATCACTTTTCTATTGTACTATAACTCAGGAACCATCAACATGAACCACAACATATATTACTAAATTCTAACACATGTCCTATTATTTCAAATAATAAGAATATTTGCTAGTCACATCAAGAAAAACTCAAAAACTTACTAAAACACTTGACTTTATTGAAGAAAGCATCATGTAACATACGTGGTACTACGAATATGATTTAATACCCAAGTAGGAAGTATTGCTTTTTCCATTTCCACGGTCCTTATAAAATGTCTAGAAAAGTGCTCAATAGCAACTGCTCAAATGTTTCTTCCTTCAATATAGCTACTGTTTTTAATTTAAATGCACTGGTAATAACCATCTTATTTTTCATCCTGGCATAATAAAGATTTATAGTTACGTCTGTCTTAAGCATGTGAAAACACTTTTTCTCTTGGAGGTCTTTATATCCCCCCCATTCCTGTTTATTTAAAAATTTATGGCTACTTTAATAGATCTATGATAAAGGAGAAAAGCCAGCCTAACAGCTGAAGAGCACTTTGTATCAGTCAAGTTTTGTCTAAGAGGAGAAATGCCATTCTACTCACAGCCACAGCTTCTGTTTTCACATCATCATTACTATCTGGGGCAGTCAGCTCTATGAGGACGGGGCATACTTTGGTCTCTACATCAAATCGCTCAATCAGCTCCTGCTCCAGCAGAGCCAGCAAAGCTGCCTGACTTGTTTTCCTCACCTAGGGGAAAAAACAAACAACAGTATAAACAAAGCATAAACAAAGTATATTACTTTGTTTGAAGACTTCTCAACTCAAATACATAACTGATAAATAAATGTTGTGGCTATTTTATTCAACTACTACAAATACAAAAGCTTGTAGTGTTCTAATAGATGAAGTGGAACACAAAGCTATCTTTGTAAAGATGTCCCACAAAATAACTTTCTGAGGGGTGCTTAGCATGGTGCCAAGTGAGAGAATACAGTTTACTAGGTCATTTATAAATGCCATTAAAGACAATCAACATATCTAGCATGACTTGTCATTTTTGAAAAAGAGAATACTAAAGTTACACCAAAAAAATATTCAAGAAGGTTCAATCAGGCTAGGCCATTGTACATACATTATGCTACTTAAAATTCTTTTTAAGAACAAGTAAATGGAAATCTTACCTGATTGTTCTGATCTGCAAGATATCTAACCACAATAGGTAGTAAGTATTTGGAAAAAGCATATGGTATTGAAGGCCGGTTTTCTTGACAAAATAGTGCGATATGAGGCACTTGTTCCATCAGTTCTGCTCTCACAGTTGGTTCTATTAAGATAAGAACAATGAGAACGCACATTTGCTCAGAGTTAAGCACATCTTTAGCTGGTTTGAGACTATTTAGAAGGCTTTGGAATTTCATCCTCAGCACAGAAAAGACTTACAATGTTACTTTTTAACCATGCAGTACTTTTCACAAGATTAACAGGTCTACAGTGAATGAAAGGAGCAAATTACTTCCAATACTAGCCTCTATCACTCACAGTATGCATTTAATACCTAGTAGTTTCTTGCAATGGATACTGTTTCTTTTTCTTTTTCTTTTTCAGTACTTGGGGTCTAAACTCAAGGCCTTGCCTTGTAATTGCTAGGCAGGCAACTCCACCACTTGAGCCAGGCTCTAAACCCAAGTACCAAAAATTCTACAAAGTGCACTAATGAACTCACACTTGGAAACAGACAAGAAAATGATCCCTCAGGAACAGAAAGGTTGGACATAAAAAAAAAAGGATTAGAACACTTAGCACACTTCACCTACTATAAATAATCTGTGGAGATTTTACTCCTTTTGAACATTATATTAAAGATATAATAAAAGAAAAGTAACTGAATAAAACAATAGGTCAGAAAAACAAGATCTGAAAACAAAGCACCTAAAATTCCTGAAAATAAAAATAGAGATAACAGCAATAAAACATTCAATAGTCAGACAGATAGCAGGTTAGACTTTGAAACAGCTTTTAAAATGGAAGAAATTCAAAATATAACCCTTATCTTGATAGAAAGATAAGAATCCTCAAATTCAAGAAATAGAGTAAATCCTGAGTAGAGTAAGTGTGAACCTAAGAACACAATGAAATGGTAGAACAGCAAGGAAAAGGGACTTTAAACCAGGAAGAAGAAAAAAGATAATCTATACAAAAACACAAAATTAGACTTGCAAATTTCTCAATAGTAAGAAAAAAATGGAATAATATTAAAAGTATTAACATCTAGATTCCTACGAAAGTCATCTATTCTAATTAGACATTACAGTCAGATTAACCCATTCAGAAATCTCAGGGTGCCGGGCGCTGGTGGCTCACCCCTGTAATCCTAGCTACTCAGGAGGCTGAGATCTGAGGATGGCGGTTCAAAGCCAGCCCGGGCAGGAGAGACTGTGAGACTCTTATCTCCAATAAACCACCAGAAAACCGGAAGTGGCGCTGTAGCTCAAGTGGTAGAGTGCTCACCTTGAGCTGAAGAGCTGAGGGACAGCACCCAGGCCCAGAGTTCAAGCCCCACGACCGACAAAAAAAAAAAAAAAAAAAAGAAAAGAAATCTCAGGGTCATTTTGGCTCTTCTCAGAGTCAGGTCTGGAATAGTGTCTTGTATTTCAGAAGCTCATCATTATATCTATTAGTGCAACCTTCCATTCATCTTTTTCAGTATAGCTCATAATCTTTAGCACAACACAATATAATCTAGTCCTCCACTGCTTCATTCTAGAGCTTAGAAATTCAGCAAATTTGTCCCAGGTGATGAAAAGGGGCTGCCATGTTGAAACAGTCAACTGTCTAAAAACGGCAATAAAATTAAAGTTTGTTTGTTTTTTTTTCCAGGGCTGAGGACCGAACCCAGGGCCTTGCGCGCGCCGGGCAGGCGCCCTTCCGCTGGGCTAAACCCCCAGCCCCTAAAATTAAACTTTTTAGGATAACAAAAAAAAAAACAAAACTGTACTTGATGAGACTCTCCTAAAACCATCCTAGAATAAGGATATACAAGAATTCTGTACACAAAGGTGGATTATTGATAAACTTAATTATGTTCTTTATACTGTTAAGGAATTTTAAGCATTTTTGCATAAAAATTAACATATTCCCATGAGAAGACTCACATACCATAAGTTCACCTAAAAATTAAAAGATGAGACTTGATGACATACCAGAAAGTTTGTCAGAGATTAAAAATATATTTAAATAATGTCTTTAAAAAAAAGAGATCTTGAAGTTTATTTTGGGTTTTGTATAGAATCAAGAATAAAAATAGGCTTAAGAGCCAGGGTGGCTAGTAGGTCACACCTGTAATCCTAGCTACCCAGGAGGCTGAGATCTAAGCCAGCCGAAGCAGGAAAGTTTGTGAGACTCCTCTTATCCACCAAAAAATGGGAAGTGGAGCTGTGGTTCAAAATGGTAGAGTGCTAGCCTTGAGCAGAAAATAGCTCAGGGAAAATACCAAGGCCCTGAGTTCAAGCCCCACAACCAACAAAAAGCAAAAACAAACAAAAAACATTACTGTATTTTAATTTTCAAATAAAAGTTTATTTTTTAAAGAGATAATCCTACCTTAATAAACCAGTTTTCTTTTTTATAAGTGACTGATTCATTCATTTTGCAAATCAAGCATACCAAGAGAATGTTATATTTACCATATTTATATATTTTTTTCTATCTCTTTACTTTTTCTAAATTATTTTAAAATTTAATTAACCTAAAATATTAACGTAAGTGATACAAAACAATGTTCTTAGATTCATTTTAGGGTGAATTTTCTGCCAAATGGGCTTACAATAAACTGGATTTTAGTAACGATTCTCTTTTTTCTGTTATTAGTGGGTTTAATAATTATTAAATTTTTTTCATATAGGGTCTACCTCTGTAGCCCAAGCTGGCCTCAAATTTCCAATCCTTTTGCATCAGCATCACTAGTATTGGGCTTACAGGCAGATGTTACTATGACTGGCCCTTAGAAAATATTTTAAAGAAATTTGCTATTACACTAATTTTTCCATTAATTTTAAAACACAAATTTGTAGCAAGCAGTGGTGACTCAAACCTATGATCCTAGCTTACAGGAGACTAAGACCTAAGGACTGCTATTCAAAAAGCCAGCCTTGACAGAAAAGTACATGAGACTCTCATCTCCAATTAACCATCAAAAAAACCGAAGTAAAGCTGTGGCTCAAGTGGGAGAACGCCAGTTAAACAAGAGTTGTGAGGCTCTAGTACTAGTACAAAACAAACATCACAAATTTGGTAAAAGACATATTCCCAGAAGGAATAAATTCACTTTCTCTACATAAACGTACCTGAATCATCAGCTAATCTGCTAATTCTTTCCAAAACTGCAATACAGTCTCTTTCATCATCACAGACTTCCCTCAATGTATCCAGCAAACTCCGGGCCACCATTTGTCTACACAGAAAAAGGTTAATTAGATTATATCCTGTCGCAAGTATTTTTTACAGTTCAGCATCTACATTATTAATTTTTTTTGTCTTTTTTGTCAGCCGTGGGCCTTGAACTCTGTGCCTGGGTGCTGTCCCTCACAAATTCAGCTCAGGGCTAGCACTCTACCACTTGAGCCACAGCGCCACTTCTGGTTTTCTGGTGGTTTGTTGGAGAAAAGAGTCTCACAGACTTTGCTGCCCAGGCTGGCTTTGAACCATGATCCTTGGAGCTCAGCCTCCTGAGTAGCTAGGATTACAGGCGTGGGCCACCAGTGCCCAGTTTATCCATATTGTTGTTGGGTTTTGTTTTGTTTTGTTTGGGTCTGTTGTGGGGCTTGAACTCTGGGCTTAGGCACTGTCCCTCAGCTCTTCAGCTCAAGGCTAGTGCTCTACCGCTTGAGCCACAGCACTACTTCGTTTTTCAAGTGGTTTATTGGAGTTAAGAGTCTTTCGGACTTTCCTGCCGGGCTGGCTTTGAACCGCGATCCTCAGATCTCAGCCTCTTGAGTAGCTAGGATTACAGGCGTGAGCCACTGAGTGCCCGGCTAATTTCTGTTTAACAAGTTTTTGTTTTTTTTTGTCGTCGTGGGGCTTGACCTCTGGGCTTGGGCGTGTGTGTCCCTGCACTCTTCAGCTCAACGCAAGTGCTCTACCGCTTGAGCCACAGTGCCACTTCCCCATATTGTTTTTAAGGACAATTTTTCATATTAAACCTGTAACTTTCTAAGTGGCAAAATGCTAGTATTAACTTGATTAATGAGAATGCGTATTATCAAAATATTATTATCTTAATAAGATATGGCAAATCTTAAAATCACTGATGATTCATTTCAATTTTTCCTCAATTATCCTAATATTGGGAAATATATTCATTTGGGGAGGGGGGAGGGTCGGTCATGGGGCTTGAACTCTGGGCTTGGGTGCTGTCCCTGAGCTCTTCAGCTCAAGGCAAGCAGTCTACCACTTGAGCAACAGTGCTCAACAGTGCTTCTGGTTTCTGGTGGTTAATTGGAGATAAGAGTTTCATGGTCTTTCCTGACCAGGCTGGCTTTGAACTGCCAATCTCAGATCTCAGCTTCCTGAGTAGCTAGGATTGCAGGCATAAGCCACTGCCATATGGCTATATTCATGTTATCTTCACTAGTAGGAGTTTTATATAACATCTCAAAAAATCTGACAAAACTTAAGGGAAAAAAACCAAAAACCTTTAGTCTGATACAGTGGCCAGTAGACTACAGATGGAGAGAAAAGCACTTCTAAGAAGCATGCTGGGCTCTGGACACACGGAAGGTGTACAATATCTTCTCATTAAAGGACACTATTCCACTTGCTAATAAGCAAATTACACTAATACCAAAATTGTGCCCAACAGCAATAAAGGCAGAGGTTTTCGCTTGCCAAAAAAGCAGAGTAAGTGTATACTTACTAGGATCAAGGAGTAAGTATCTGCAATAAGGTCATGTTGTGATTAATAATAAAATGTATATTCATTAGTACCTACTTTAAGTTGATAATGTTCTCTCTATTGAAATGAATATCCCCCACTTTCACATTAGTGAAAAGAATATACCAATACCTGTTAAATACGTTCTCACTTGCAGCATACTTGTCCAATCTTCCCAGCGGCGTCAACATTTCATCTTGTGAGATGAAGTCCAGGGCTGAAGGTATAATAATCACATCAGACTCTGAGCTGTAGTCATCCACACCAACTATCAGAGACACCAGAAATACTCCTTATAACACTCTGAAGCTAAAAAGCATTCCTTGCCTGTTGAAAGCAGCATAAATGTTTCTGGAAAGTTGCAACAACTACAGAAGAATCAAGATCAATCTGGCTACCAGGAAAGGTTGAAGGACACTTTCCTCTTGCTACAAATGTGTTATCACTGGCCTCTAAGAAGCACAAAAGCCAAAGGCTACAGAAACTCAATGTAGAAGAGAAAACAAATGAAATTATAGTTTCTCACTTCACTTACTAGAAGAAAGCTGAAAATTACTAGTATTTGCATTTATTAAATATACTTATGCCAAGTACTAGGCTAGATGTTTAAGAAACTAATGACTAATGCTTCTGCCTTAGAACAAAACCTCTGTAGAAAAAACAATCTATTTAAAAATGATGGAACCATGTACAAACTATAAAAGTCCAGGAACCTGCCTGAGGTGGAGGAGGAGGAAGAGAAGACCAAGAAAAAATAGATAGAACCTAACCAGGAGATCATGATTTCAAAGGGAGTAAGCAAACAGAGTTGGAAGGTATGACTGAACAGCATCTATTGCTTATGAAGGCTAGGAAGATCAAAAGATTGCTCCTGAATTTGGACTCCTGTGCCATGGTAAGTAGCATCTTGGTTACTAGCAAAGGCAATTTTCCATGGTATGAAACTCAAGAAGCCAAATCATATTTACTGAAGAGGTCAAGAAAAATGTAAGAGAAAATACTACATATAAAATAAGGTTTCCAACGTTTGTTTTATACTATTTCCAGCTTGCAGCTGTGTGGGAATCCATTAGATTCACTCACTGAGCCACATACAGCCATAAGGAACATTTTGTTCCCAATATCTAAAAGAGGAGAAATATTTGAAACAGACAAATAAGTATAAATTGAGGTTCTAGAAATAAACAGAGGCAACTGATAGAAAATTGATAGAAAACTCATAACATCAGGGGAAAAGGAGCCTAGAGCTAAGACAAATGGGCAGATGTAAATACTATTCCAGGCTTTCCTCTAAATGCACATTTTTCTTATTCATAGTCTGCATTTCTGACTGACTTTTCCCAATCAGCATATGTCACTAACTCAAAAGTCAGTAGTCTAGTAACCCACATTAAGATCTGGGTTGAATTTTCACTTAATACACTGCTTTATCTCCAGGAATACTGCCTGGCACAAAGTAAGCACTTTATTTTTTAAATAAGCTGTTCTTCACTCAAAATAAGATTTTATCTTTGTCATCCATTTTCCTTAGGAGAAAAACAACACATAACAAACTGCTCCCAAGTGCTGTTATATGAGTAACAGAAAAAAAAAAAGCCATTTCCTGGTCAAATTTCCAATGCTATTGCTTAGCTATTTAAAAAATGCTTATTTTTAAAGTAAATGAGTGGCAAAAGCCAATCTTGGGCTAAACAGGTATTAAGACAATATTTTTATGCCAAACACCACTATCAGAAATCCTACAAAAAATTCAATGCAATTACTTTTAAATATTTGAACTTGCTAAAATAGTTCTGAATAAAAAAATTCCATTTCTGACAAAGGTGATCTATGAAGGGGCAAATTTACCTTCATACCTTAAGAATCAAAAAATAAAAGGGTTGGGAAAAAAAAGACCACAAACAATAAATAATGGTTTCAGACACTGGACAAAAGGCAGCACAGGGCAATGGTCCCTGACAGAGAAAACAGTAAGATGATGCACCATTATACTGCCCTAGCTGACTGCCTGAAAAGAGAGATCCCCACACAGTCTAGCAGAAGCCAGGAATCCAATACTGAAAACTTGCAGGGTAGAAAAACAGAGAGGAACAATTTAGAAAGGAAAAGCTTCACTAGGTTATACAAGGTCCCCTTCTTTTTTGGTCTTTTAAAACAAGGTCTTGCTATTTAGCCCAGTCTAGTCTCAAACTCTCAAGCCTCCTGCTTTAAATCCTGAGTGCTGGGATTATAGGCATGAACCACTTTATCTCTCACCACATAGGGTCCCTTTCTTTGCCTCTTTAGGTGAGTATTAGAACAACATAAATGTGAGAATCCAGAGCAGGTTATCTGAAAAGATCAGGTGAACAGAACCCTGATGATCACAAAGGATCAGGAATAGATTATTTCTCCACTGTTCACAATAAAAGAAGAAAACACAGTAAGTCTGTAATACAAGGGGCAAGACCAAGTACTTCAAGAAGTGTGTCCTTGGATTAGTCTAATAATTAGTCTAATAGTCTTATGCAGCATAAGACTAACAAGGCATCAGGCAAGCTACAAAATGACCAGACTGTTTTCTTTCTGTGTCTCAGAATAACATTCAAGAGTACCAAAATGAATGCAAAAATATTTGGCACTCAATAAAGTAAAAGGCATAATATCTAGGATTCAATTTTTAAAAAGTCTAGGCATGCCAAAAGCAGGAAAGAGAAATAATGTAGAAAAAATTTCAAAAGAAACAGATCTGGAAGTAATAGAGATGAATTAGATAAGATAATGAAAAGAAAGACAATGGAATGTTCAAGAAAACATGGACACAATAAGAAGAAACACAAAACATATTTTGAAATCTTTAATTGAGCTAGTTTTTTTTAAATTTTTTTCCCCTACTATCCCTTCCCTACCCACCCCTCCAACTTCTCCCTGCCCCCCCCAACCCAACTCTAAAGCTCGTTTTCAACATGGTGTCTTGTACATCTCATTGTTATAATTGATCTAGTTGTTTTGGTTTTTTTTTTTTTTTTTTTTTTGGTTGGGTCGAGGGGCCTGAAACTCTGGGCCTGGGCGCTGTCCCTCAGCTCTTCAGCTTTAGCGCTCTACCACTTGAGCCACAGCCTCACTTCTGGCTTTTTCTGCTTATGTGATGCTGAGGAATGAACCCAGGGCCTCATGCATGCTAGGCAAGCACTCTACCACTGAGCCACCTACCCAGCCCTAGTTTTTAAAGAAAATAGCTTATGGCTCATTCCTGTAATCCTAGTTACTCAGGAGGCTGAGATACAAGAACCAAGGTTCACAGTTAGCACTGGAAGAAACGTCTCCAAGACTCTTATCTCCAATTAGCCACCAAAAAAACAAAAAGTAAGCTGTGGCTCAAGTGGTAGAGCAATACTCTTAATCAAAAAGCTCAGGATCAGTCGGACACCAGTGACTCACACCTGTAATCCTAGCTACTCAGAAGGCTGAGATCTGAGGATCATGGTTCAAAGCCAGCCTGGGCAGGAAAGTCCCTGTGAGACTCTTTATCTCCAATAAATCACCAGAAAACCGAAATGACTCTGTGGCTCAAGTGGTAGAGCACTAGCCTTGAGCTGAAGAGCTGAGGGACAGCACCTAGGCCAAGAGTTCAAGCCCCACGACTGAAACCCTCTACCCCCCACCAAAAAAAAAAGCTAAGGATCAGCACCCAGACCCTAAATTCAAGCCCCGGAACCAGCACAAAAAAAAAGGGGGGGGGTGAGGCATGGTCCAAGTAGTAGAACATTTGCCTACAAAGTATGGAAATCTGAGTACAAACCATAAAAACACTAAAATCAAAAACACCTAAAAATAATGAGATGAAAAATACCACATGGCTTGAGATCAAGAGCAAATTAGAAATACAGAAGAAAATATCAGTGATCCTAAAGATACAACATGAGGAAAAATATCCTAAACAAAACAAAAATATAGATTGAGACAGAGCACTATTTAACTGAAAGGACAACTTCAAGAAAAATATAAGAAATATTGAAGAAGCAGGGCATCTGTGGCTCATGCCTATAATCCTAGCTACTTAGAAGGCAAGCTGAGGTTCAAGGTTTGAAGCCAGACAGGGAAAAAAAAAGTCTGAGACTCATCTCCAATTAACCAGCAAATCATCAGAAGTAAGTCAAGTGGTAGAGCACTAGCCTTAAGCTAGCTCAGGACTGACATGAAAGGAGGAGGGAAGGAAGGAGAGGTAATCAAAGAAATAATAAACAAAATGCTTCCAAACTTGGTGAAAACTATTATTGATCAAATGATTCAGTAAATCTCATGAGCCAGAAAAATATACCAGTTCAATGAGCTAGTAATAAAAATGATTCACCCCAGAAAAACTCAGCTTTCACAGAGAACAAACATACGAATAAGATCAGACTCAATATCAAACCAATACCAAACAGCAAATAGTACAACAACTTTAGTCAACCTACCTACTACTTTTAAAATCTGGTATCTTTCAGATACAAAGATAAAGAAAAGGCTTTTCTTAAGATATGCAAAAACTGACATCTGGAACAACATAAACGTGCTAGAACAAATATTAATTTGTTAAAGTAATTAATTAAAGTACCCTCCACCCCCAAAAAGGAAAATTGTACCAAATGGGAATCGTTTTAGAAAAACTGGGAGAAAGTGAGGGAAAGGGGCGGTTGGCACTGTCTCAAAAATGTACTCACTACCTGATCTTTGTAACTGTAACCCCTCTCTATATCACCTTTAGAATAAAAAAAAAATTTTTTAAGCAACAAATAATGTTAGAAATGTCAAGAATGTGGGCAAATGTGGGTTTTCTTATTTTTTGAATCTTTTAAAAACAGAATTAACTATAGTAATACTGTTTTGAGAATATGTATTTAGAATTCATAACATATGTAGTAGGAAAATGATAATCACCACAAAGCAGCAAAGGTTAACCTATACCCTTGTAAATTCCTTACACGATATGAAGATACACATTATACAAAAGTAGACTGTTACACACACACACACACACACACACACAAATAAACTCTAAAGCAGCCACTATTTTTTTACACCACCAAAGACATAAAAATAAATCAATAAAGGCCATAAATATTCAACCAAAAGAAAAAAGAAAAAGAGAGGAAAGAAGAGATGAGACAACAGACAGAAAAATAGCACAGTAAGAGATTTAAATCTGATCAAGAAGTATATTGAGTGCTACTGGTCTCAACAATTACAATTAAAAGGCAAAAATTATCAAACGGGATTAAAACTAACACCTAAACATACATAGCA